AGCAGGAGGGCGACAGGGGGGAGGAGGGAAGTGGGGCGTCATTCGTAACAAAGCCCGGCGGCGTCATTCTCAAGGTCTCGGGATTTCCTTGGGAGTCCTGGGAGCCGCCCGCATGCTTGGGCAGGGCCGTGTGCCGGCATGTCCAACTAAATACTGCGCGTCTTGCAGCCAGACCGCCTGGACAGCTCCTTGAATGCCATGCCTCTGGGGAACACCATGGACACAGCGAGAGACAAAAAAGGCCAAGCATGCTTTTACCGCAATAGAAAAACACAGCACAACAAAAACAAGCAAAACAAAGAAGGACAAAACAGAAACGCTCTCTGACACCAACGCGAGCTAGCAGCACCCCAGCAGCCCTGCGCACGTGTTCCTCCTCGTGCTTCTGGCGGCGTTTGAAGCCCCGCACTGCCAAACGGCCATTCGCATCCTCCGGGCCACCGATGATCATGTTTGACGAGTCGACACCCGCCCGTCCTCGTAGCCCCCAATTCCTCCTCCTCCTCCCCCTCCTCCTCCTCCTCCTCCTCCTCCTCCTCCTCCTCCTCCTCCTCCTCCTCCTCCTCCTCCCCCTCCTGCGCCTCCTCCTCCTCCTGCGCCTTCCCTCTTCTTGCTTCTTTCCAAGCCGTCCGCCTCGGCACCCCTCCTGCCGCACCTGCCCTCCTCCCCCGCTCGTGGTGCGGGAAGGGGGGGTGGGGGGCGGCCGTCCTTCGAGTGCAGGTACTCGATGCGGTGCAAGATCTGCTTCGCGACCAGCACTGTGTTCTGCAGGCCTAGCACCCCGAGTTCCTGTGGGCGTCGTCGTCGTCTTCGTCCTCGTTTTTTTTCGACGACGGCATCGTCGTTCTCGTCCTCCTCCTCCTCCTCCTCCTCCTCCTCCTCCTCCTGTTCCTCCCTCTCCTCCTCCTGCTCCTCCCGCCTCCTCCTCCTCCTCCTGTTCCTCCCTCTCCTGCTCCTCCCCCTCCTCCCCCTCCCCCTCCTCCTCCTCCTCCTCCTCTCCTCCTCCTCCTCCTCCTCCTGCGCCTCCTCCTCCTCCTCCTCCCTCCTCCTCCTCCTCCTCCTCCTCCTCTCCTTGATGTTATGTGCCTGCTGCGTTTTCTTCTTATGTTTATTCATGTTATGCTTCCTCGTCTTCTTCGTAGTAGAATTCGTCTTCTTTTCTTTTCTGAATAATATTATTATTGGTATGTTTCCTATTAGTGTTCCTTCGTCCTCCTCCCCCTCCTCCTCCTCCTGCGCCTCCTCCTCCTCCGCCTCCTCCTCTCCTCCTCCTCTTCCCCTTCCCCTTCCCCTTTCCCTTCCCTTTCCCTTCTTCCTCCTCCCTCCTCCTCCTCCTCCTCCTCCTCTCCTCTCCCTCCTCCTCCTCCTCCTCTCCTCCCCTCCTCCCTCCTCCTCCTCTCCTCCTCCTCCCTCCTCCTCCTCCTCCCTCCTCCTCCTCCCCCCCTCCTCCTCCTCCTCTCCTCCTCCTCCTCCTCCTCCTCCTCCAACTCCTCCAACTCCTCCACAATTACTCAATATGAATGCTACTTTCCCTCTTCCCCTGATGACGGTTTGAAAGTATTAGCCCCCCCCGCGTACTGTTTTTTACACTCAGGATTCCCCGGAGTTGGGTTTTCGCCTGCATTTGTTTACAAAATGCTGCTCTCGCTGAGGCGCCGGCCTCATTTGCGGGCCCCGCTCGTTCCGAATCGTGCTCCCGCTGCAGCGCTGGCCTCATTTCCGTGCTTCCGCTCGTTCCGACTCGTGCTCCCGCTGCAGCGCTGGCCTCATTTCCGCGCTTCCGCTCGTTCCGACTCGTGCTCCCGCTGCATCGCTGGCGCCATTTCCCGTGCCATGCCACGGTATGCAATGCACTGCTAGGTTGATACTACGCTTTGCGGTGCTCTTCTACGCCATGCCATGCCGTGCTCTGCAACGCATCGCGTACCCTTTCGGGATCATTGCTCTGCTCGACATCCGACTGTGCGAATACAGAGAGGGGATCTATGCCATGGTAAGGGATGGGAGGGAGGGGTAGCATGTCAGATATGACGCGAGCGCACCTAGCTTGTTCCCCCTCCCCCTCCCCCTCCCCCTCCCCCTCCTCCCCCTCATCCCCCTCCTCCTCTGCTCCTCCTCATCATCATCATCCTCATCCTCCTCCTTCTCCCATTCCTCCTCCTCCTCCTCCTCCTCCTCCTCTTCCTCCTCCTCCTCGCCCTCCTCCTCCTCCTCATCCTCCTCCACCTCCTCGCCCTCCTCCTCCTCCTCATCCTCCACCTCCTCCTCCACCGCCTCATCATCCCTCCCTGCCCGTCCCTTTTCCTTCGCCGCCTCCCTCCATCTACCCAACCCTTTTTTTCGCCGCCTCCCTCCCTGCGGCCTCTTGCGGAGAGAGACGGAGGAAGGAGACTGGAGGTGGATGGAGAGGAGAAGGGGGAGGAGGACGACGCACAGTGCGACGGATGAGGCTCGGCAGACACATGTGCCAGTCTGGCCAAAAGTGTGCATGCGGCGCTGGTCCCCGTTCTGTGCGGCAGCACAAAACTCCCGTCGTCCCCGTCCCCCTGCCGCTGTTCCTCATCATTTGTTCCTCGTTCAAATCCCCCTCCTCCGTGTCCACCTCCTCCTCCTCCTCCTCCTCCTCCTCCTCCTCCTCCTCCTCCTCCTCCCTCTCCTCTCCTCCTCCTCTCCTCCTCTCCCTCCTCTCCTCCTCTCATCATCATCATCGTCATCATCATCAGCATCATCAGCATCAGCATCATCATCATCATCATCATCATCATCATCATCATCATCCATCATCATCATCATCATCATCATCATCATCATCATCATCATCATCACAACATCATCAGCATCATCAGCATCATCATCATCATAATCACCATCATCATCATCATCATCATCATCAGCATCATCATCATTCATCATCATCATCATCATCATCATCATCATCATCATCATCATCATCATCTCATCATCATCATCATCATCATCATCATCATCATCATCATCAGCATCATCATCATCATCCTATTCCTGCTACCCCTCTTCGTCCTATTATTTTTCTTCTGTCTTCTCCTCCTCCTCCTCCTCCTCCTCATCCTCCTCCTGCTCCTTCCCCTCCTCGAGGCCAAGTCGAGCAGTGCATTGTTTCAGCCGAAACAACGCACGATGACCGGCCGAGGCTTCTGACTCCGACTCCGACTGCTCCTCCTCCTCCTCCTCCTCCTCCCCCTCCCATCCTCCTCCTCCTCCTCCTCCTCCTCCTCCTCCTCCTCCTCATCATCATCATCATCATCATCATCCTCCTCCTGCTCCCCCTCCTCTTCCTCCCCATCCTTGTCACAGTCCGCCTCCTCCTCTTCCCCGTCGCATTCGTATGTTTATGGTTCCCCTCCGCCTCCTCCTCCTCCTCTTCGTCCTCCTCCTCGTCCTCCTCCTCCATTCCTCTTACGTGTAGATGACGTCCCCATGTCGCACCGCGAGGCCAATTGTTATGGCGGGCGGGGCGTTTCGAGCGAAACTTCCTCACCATGTATGACCCTAAAGCGTACATAAGATGTGGCAACGGCCTCACACATGGAGGGCGAGTCGCTTTCAACATATGACTCTCGCCGTAGCAACGCGCACGTTCGCTTTATACTACCCTGTGCCGTACCCAACCCAGTTGCATCAAGTGGCACGAGGAGGTGGCCCAAACTTGCCAGGACATTGACAGCACGGGCGCCGTTATATGTTGTGCGAGAAACATGGGGCGCGGCCAAGCGGCACGGTTCACAGGACAAGGACAGAAGGACGAGGAACGAGCGCCCAGGCTTGAGGAGGACATGGGGCGGGAACGAAAGGCAGGAGAAGGACGCGAGGGGGGGCGACCCGTAAGCGCGGCAACAGCAGAGGGAAGGTGGCAGGGGGCAGAGAACGACGACGAAAGTGGCGGGAGGAGACCGAAGAGTGCTGTCTTTGTCGGTAGTGCGCAAGAGATGCAGCGCTGCCTGCGCCATGTCGCCGCGGCGTTCGACAGAAGACTGTAATCCGTTTGAAAATTAGCACAACAAACGAGCGAAGCCTAGCTCGCCTGCCAGCTTCCCTGCTTCCTTCCCGCATTCTTCAGTGCGGGAGCTAAAAGCTCGAAGGCGCGCCGCCAGGTCTGCGGGCGGTCCGCGACGGCTCCCCGTTTGGATCCCCCCGCAACCCTCGAAAGTGGAGGCGGTTTCGCAGAACGTAGCCCCCCAGCATGGCGAGGTCTAATCTGAATATGGGTGGTGCCTCATCCCGCTGAACTCCCACGCAGCCCTCGAAAGTGGCGACAGGTTCGCAGATCGCAGTCTCCCATGGATGGCGATGTCCAATCTGAGTCTGGGTGGTGCCTCACTCCGCTGAACCCCCCCAGCAGACCTCGAAAGTGGCGACCGTTTTGCAGATCGAGGCCCCCCAGGGATGGCGATGTCCAATCTGAGTCTGGGTGGTGCCTCACTCCGCTGAACCCCCCCAGCAGACCTCGAGAGTGGCGACCGTTTCGCAGATCGCATCCCTCCAGAGATGGCAATGTCTAATCTGAATCTGGATGGTGCCTCACCCCGCTGGACCCCCCAGCAGACCTCGAAAGTGGCGACGGTTACGCAGATCGCATCCCTCCAGGGATGACGAGGTCTAATATGAGTCTGGGAGGGGCCTCACTCCACTCCCCCAGAAGCCCTCGAAAGTGGCAACGGTTTCGCACATCGCAGCCCCCCAGGAATGGCGAGCTATAATCTGAGTCTGCGGCGGGTGCCACCTATGCTGATCCCCTCAGCAAGCCCCAAAAGTGGCCACAAATTCGCAGATCGCCCCCCCCCCCCCCCGGGAATGGCTGGAATGGCGAGGTCTAATCTGAATCCGCGGCGGGTACCCACCCACTATGTTGGTCCCCTCAGCAAGCCCCCCCAAGTGGCGACAGTTTCGCGGATTTCCCCACGGAAAAGAGCAGGTTGGGAGCGCCTTCATGTGGTGCCACAGCGACTTGCCAAGCCTCTCGGTCACCAGGCAATTCCACGAGGGGCTCCTGATCGGGCGGATCGGTGAACGAAGCTGTAAGCTGTTTCCGGCCGTGCAGAGCCTCCGGACGTCGCGGGACGCCTTGATATATACGAGGACCTCTGGCGAGATCAAGAGCTGAAGAACGGAAGATAGCAGAGGAGGCAAGGAGGACGAAGGGAATGCGCGGGCGTAAAGGAGGAGGAGCTGCAAGAGGAGGGGAGGGAGAGGAGGAGGCGAGGGAAAGCAAACGGAGAGAGGGGCGCACGTGCAAGAAGAAGGGGGCCAGCAGCAGCAGGTTAAGGAGGAGTGGATGGAAGAAGCAGAGGAGTAAAAGGGTAACAGGGGCCGAAGGTGGAGTCCACCCCCTCCCTCTCCTCGGTCTTCAGCATCCCTCATCCTCCTCGTCCTCCACCTCCTCAGGCCATGTCTCCTCCCCAGCATTCAGCACGACCAACAACATCAACATCATCAGCGCCATCGTCGTCATTTTCGTGCATCCTCGTCATCGACCTCGTCGTCTTCGTCGTCACCACCACAACCGCCATCATCATCGCCGTCATTGGGATCGACATCGTCATCGTGGTCAAAAGCAGCATCATCAACGTCATCATCATCCCCGTCATCACCATCAACACATCATCGCAATCACCACCACCCTCACCTCTCCATCATCTTTATCGCAAGCATGAATTCCCCCCGTCTACCGCCGCCGCTGTCCTCCTGCTGTCCGCCCCCCCTCCCTCCTCCCTCCCCCATCTTCCCTCCTGAATTGCCCCATCCCCCTGCTCCTCCTCCTCCTCCTCCTCCTGCTCCTCCTCCTCCTCCTCCGCCTCCGCCTCCGCCTCCGCCTCCGCCTCCGCCTCCGCCTCCGCCTCCGCCTCCGCCTCCTCCTCCTCCTCCGCCTCCTCCTCCTCCTCCTCCGCCTCCTCATCCCCCTCCTCCTCCTCCTCCTGCTTCCTCCGCCTCCTCTTCCTCCTCTTATTCTTGTTAGTGGGAGTCTTCTTATTAATAGTATTCGTCGTCGTATGATTATTCTTATTCTTCGTATAATTAGTAGTATTCGTATTCGGCTTAGTCTTATTATTCTTGGTATTACTATTCTTTTTCGTAGTAGTAGTAGTCGCATGATTAGGCTTATTAGTATGCTTAGCCTTATTCGTCGTAATAGCATTCGTCTTAGTATGCGCATTCGTATTATTATGATTAGTATTCGTCTTAGTATTAGCCGTATTGTGCTAAGTAGACTTAGTATTCCTAGTATTAGATTTCGTAGTATGGTTCGTATTCGTCTAGTCGTCGTAGTATTAATACTATTGGTATTATTATTATCTGTCGCATTATTAATATTAGTATTATTAGTATGCGCCTGCTTCTTCTTATTAGTAGTATTATTATTATCATTATGCAGATTCGTCTTCTTAGTATTATGAATATTGTTTCTTATTCGTCGTATTCGTCCTACTCGTCTTGTTAATCTTCATACTATTAGTAGTCGTATCAGTATTAGGCTTCATCGTATTATTATTCGTTTTATTATGCATGTTATTATTATTTGTAGTATTCGTCTTCGTCGTCTTCGTCTTCTTCTTATTATTGTTTTTCCTCCTCCTCCTCCTCCTCCTCGAGGCGGACGGCGCGGGGAGGGCGCGGCTCCCGAGGCCCCAGAAGCGCACGGCGCAGAAGCCCTGCGGCAGCGAGGGCGACGCCAGCGCCTGCAGGATCCTCGCCTCCTGCGACGCCCCCCCGCGCCTCTACGCCCCCCCACGCGCCCCGCCCCAGCCACGTTGTGAGGGGTGTCGTCTCTCTCTCCCTCTCTCTCTCTCTCTCTCTCTCTCGGTCTCTCTCTCTCTCTCTCTCTCTCTGTGTGTCAAAGACGAGGCCAGGACGAGGGCCAATGCGGGTGAGAATACCTCAAGAATCTCTGAGGCCCGACGGGTCTGGAGGATGCCTCGGGCGCCGCGAATTCGGGTGAGGATAAATCGAGTCTGGAGGGGGGGGCGCCGCGACCTTCTCAGAGCGTTCGGGAACGCTCTGAGAGCGTTCCTGGACGCTCTGGATCGGATTCGTCCTTGCCCCGTCCGACTCTCTCTCTTTCTGTCTCTCTCCTTCTCTCTCTCTCTCTCTCTCTCTCTCTCTTTCCCCTGATTCCGTCCTGAAGATCTCCGGCCCTCTCCGCGTTGTATTTTTCGCACAGGACTTCGGCAATTACTTCGTCGTACGGTTCGTTGAAATCCGTTCGTCGTCAGCGACTGAAGACAGCAGTACCGCTGCAGTGTGGGCCTCATTTTCGGATCGGCGCCTTTTTCCCGTCGTTCAGAGTGGCGCTCTCGACGTGTCACGTTTCTAGATCCGAATCCTTTTCAACGTTGTCGCATCCCTCATTCCCACGCCTCCGCATTTCCCATTCCCCTCGTCCTCCTGCTCCTCCCGCTCCTTCCACTGAAGCGCTCGTCCTCGCCCGCCTCCTTCCTCCTTCCTCCTCCACCTCCTCCTCCTGCCCTTCCTCATCCTCCTCCTTTCCCTCCAGCTCATCCTGCTGCTCCTCCGCCACCACCTCCTCCTCGAATGTGCGCAGCTCCCTCTCTTGCCGAAGTCGCCCAACACCATGAGATCCCCTTTGGAATTCCAGGTCCGCTGTGACACGCGTCGGCGGACAGAGACAGAACAAGGCAGCTAGTGGCAAGGAACGGGTGGGATGTCAGAAATGGCGAGAGCGCCCAGCTTACACTTACGTCGGGCCTGTCTCTCTACAGAGGGAACACTCAAAAATGATTGGTGCTTTGTTTTTAACTATCAAAATAACAAAATCTGGAAAAAGTTTGACTGTTTTTGAATATGTTTGGAATATGTGGGGGATAGTTGTCACATGTCTTCCAAAACCCCCTTGTAAGGGGGACACGCCCGACTTAAGCTCACCCCTCCCCCTCTCCCTCCCTCCCCCCACCCCCCCCCCCTTCCCCCCCCCCAAAAAAAATAGCCTGGCGAAGGACCCAACCATATGCAGTCGTTAATACCGCAAATATGACTATCGGATTCGGTGGCGCTACCTCTGGGTAGGGGAACCGCATGCGGACACCCCCACTGGGGCCTACAGTGGAGCTCCCTATGGGGCCACGAAACGCTGCCCTGGGTGGGGGAACCGCATGCGGACACCCCCCACTGGGGCCTACGGTGGAGCTCCCTGTGGGGCCACGAAACGCTGCCCTGGGTGGGGGAATCGCATGCGGGCACCCCCACTGGGGCCTACGGTGGAGCTCCCTAATTATGGGGCCACGAAACGCTGCCCTGGGTGGGGGAACCGCATGCGGACACCCCCACTGGGGCCTACGGTGGAGCTCCCTATGGGGCCACGAAACGCTGCCCTGGGTGGGGGAACCGCATGCGGACACCCCCACTGGGGCCTACGGTGGAGCTCCCTGTGGGGCCACGAAACGCTGCCCTGGGTAGGGGAACCGCATGCGGACACCCCCCCTGGGGCCTACGGTGGAGCTCCCTATGGGGCCACGAAACGCTGCCCTGGGTGGGGGAACCGCATGCGGACACCCCCACTGGGGCCTTCGGTGCCGAGAGCAGAGGCAAGGAGGGGGAGGAGGGACGAGGGGGAGGGGGAAGGAGGGAGGAACGCGGGGCACCGTCTCTTCAAAACGAGGACCCAACACCGCAGGATGGTTGGAAAAAAAACGCCACCGTGCCGCTGGGCACGGGCGCGTCCTCGGGCCCTCTGCCTGAGCCTGTAAAAGCACTTCTGATGAAAAGTCGCCATATCTGGGATGGACAGACCTCCCTTTAGTCAGAACGTGGTTTAGTGAAAACGACCTGAGGCCAAAACCTGGCGGGCACAAGCCTGGAAAATAACGGCCGCGGCGCCCTCTCGAGAACCGAAAACGGACAATTCACTAATCGACGTGTCAGGGTAGGAGGTCTGCCCACCCCCGACTCTAAGGGGCCCGGAGAGCCCAAATTCACACATCTCCTGGGCCGTGCCGCGTGCTTTCGGGGCTTGTCGCGTGACCGTCTCGGGCCCATGTGTGCCCCAAGACGGACCAGGCCAAAAGGGCCCTCGAGACGCTGCAAGAGGGCCCGGAGGTGCCGAACGATCGCTCCAAGACGCTCAAGAAGGCCCCAGACAGTCAAAGAGGCCTCCACGACGCCCCAAGAGGCCTCCAAGAAGCCTCCCAAGGCGGCCCCCAAAAAGGCCAACATCCTTGAATGTCCGTGTGGTTTTGCAGGCTTTTGGCGTTCAGGCCTTCTCGGCTTCCCGCTCCCAGGCGGCCCTAGAGGCGCCCAAGACCGCCCCAAGACGGCCCCAAGACGGCCCAAAAAGGCCTCCAAGAGGGCCCCGGCCCAATAGGGCCCTAAGACGGCCCAAGAGGAGCCCAAGACGGCCCAAGAGGGTCCCAAAGACGGCTCCAAGAGGGGGCTCAGCAGATGGGGACCCGAGCGGACATCTCAAGCCCTCGGCCACGAGGGGCCCCCAGGAGGTCCCAAGACGCCCCCAAGAGGCCTCACGAGGCCCCGGAGACGCCTGAAGAGGCCCCCAGGAGACGCCAATTCCCAAAGAGGCCCCAAAACTGCCCACAAGAGGACGCCGAGAGCGCTCCGAAGAGACTCCAAGAAGCATCCCTAAGAACTCTGACCCACAACCCAGGCACGGTGGCGAGATGGTCTGAAGGCTTCACGGCCATTAGATAAGGTTTCTTAACCGGCAAACTCACGGTTCACGGCTCCCGGCTCCCAACTCCCAATTCCCTTATCCTGACTCTCGATTCACAATTCCCGGTTCCCCGCTCCCGACTCCCTGTTCTCGGTTCCCGTTACCGGCTCCCGACTCCCAGTACCCAACTCCAACTTCCCACTTCTCGGTGACCGGGTTCCCAGTGCCCGGGGTCCGGGTTCCCGGTTCCCGCTGTGCGGCCAACCGAAATAGATCCCCAAAGAGATGTGCAATAGATGCAGCAGATGTGTGTATTGTAGATTTACAACACATATCAAACATGTTGCCCCATCTAATTGAACATGTTTGCACATACAGACGGATATACGTCTTCAAATCCATTGTATTACATTTTGAATAAATATCTCGGTCCCAGTCATCATGTGGTGTTGGGTCCTCGATTTGAAGAGAGCGCCCCGCATCACCTCACCTCCCGCTTTCCTCCCCCTCCTCCCTCCTCCCTCCTCCCCGCTTCCCTGCCTCTGCCCTCATCAGTATGCAACTGCCCCACCCAGAACGGCGCTTCGTGGCCCTAAAGGAAGCTCCACCGAAGGCCCCAGTGGCTGCACTCGCATGCGTCCCCCCCACCCAGTACAGCGCGTCGTAGCCCCATGGGGAGCTACACTGGCCGCAGTCGCATGCGTCTCCCCCACCCTGTACTACGTCGTGCCTCCATAGAGAGCTCCACCGATGGCCCCAGTGGCTGCACTCGCGCGCGCCTCCCACACCCAATACAGCGCTTCGTGGCCACATAGGGAGCTCACCCGAAAACCCCAGTGGCTGCACTCGCGCTCGCCTCCCCCACACAGTACAGCGCTTCGTGGCCCCATAGGGAGCTACACCGAAGGCCCCGGTGGCTGCACTCGCACGCGTTTCCCCACCCAATACAGCGCTTCGTGGCCCCATAGGGGAGCTCCATTCAAGGCCCAGGCTGATGCACTCACATCTCCCCAACCCAGTACGCCGTTTCGTGGCCCCATACGGAGCTCTACGGAAGGCCCGCGGGGCTGCACTCGCATGCGTCTCCCTCACCAAGTGCAGGGCTTCGTGGCCGCATGGGGATCTCCACCGAAGGTTCCAGTTGCTGCACTCGCATGCGTCTCAGTACGACGCTTCGTGGCCCCATAGGGAGCTCCACCGAAGGCCCCAGTGGCTGTACTCGCATGCGTCTCCCCTGCCCAGTACAGCCCTTTGTGGCCCCATAGGGGGCTCTACCGAAGGCCCCAGTGGCTGCACTCGCTTGCGTCTCCCCCACCCATTACAAAGCTTCGTGGCCCCAAAAGTAGCCCCACCCAAGGCCTCGTGGCAAAGTCCGCATGCGGTTCCCCCACTCAGTACACCGCTTCGCGGCCCCACAGGGAGGCCCCAGTGCCAAAGTTCGCATGCGTCTCCCCCACCGAGTACAGCGTTTCGTGGCCCCATAGGGAGCTCCACCGGAGGCCCCACTGGCTGCACTCGCATGCGTCTCCCCTACCCAGTACAGCGCCTCCTGACCCCATGGAGGGGCTCCGCCGATGCCGCTAGTGACAAACTTCGCATGCGTCTCCCCCACCCAGCACAGCGCTTCGTGGTCCAAAAAGAGCTCCACTGAAGACGCCAACCGCAACTGCGGTACTCACGCTTCGCCAGGCAGATTGAAACAACAAGCGCTGCCTGCACATAAGAATTTGTTGCTCCAACCGTCCTCTGGCTTTGAACAGACAGAGCCCCACGTCTCCCACTTCCACTCTTCGTCCCCCATCCCTCTCCTCCCGCCTCCCCCTTCCGTGCCTCTGCCATCATCAGTATGCGTCTGCCCCACCCAGTACAGCGCTTCGTGGCCACATAGGGAGCTACACCGAAGGCCCTGGTGGCTGCACTCGCACGCGACTCCCCCACCCAGTACAGCGCTTAGTGGCCCCATAGGGAGCTACACCCAAGGCCCCAGTGGCTGCACTCGCACACGTCTCCCCCACCTAGTACAGCGCTTCTTGGCCCCATAGGGAGCTCCACCCAAGGCCCCAGTGGCTGTACTGG